CTTGGAGAAAGTCCCTGAGACACGGACGAACTGTCGGTATTGGTCGATCGCTGAACAGACTACAGTAACTTTTGCGTTGTGTACATGTAAATTGTGCTTGAAGCTACTTTTAGAGTAGAAACTGGTCTAATCTAGATGCGGTCAACCGCCATAAAACTGTAACATACGTCAACGACGTCATCTTCACCCATTCATATTGTTTGCGTCACCAAGAAGATGAGAAAATCTATCGTATGCCTTCGAAGTTTACCCCTGCTTAGAGTCCCTTTGGACTGGCACCAGCGATTTACAGAGTACTGTATGAAGCTACTTGTCACTTGTGCTTCACCAGTGCATTTTGGAACCTCAACAGAGGGTGATTTTGCACTTCTGCGGCCCTGTAATAGGGCTAGCATGAAGTATGGAGGATTGCAATACGACCTCCTGATTATGAATATTGCGCAGGCTGCTTATAGCTGTTCTGCCTCCTTCGCTGAACGGACATTGCAAGATGTCACTCGCCCCCTGTTTCACACATTTAACTGTCCGTTACTTTCAGAGCCCCCCCCCCGCACTCGAGGAGACTTCATTATCCCTAGAACAGGATAGAAAATCGTCCTCAATCCGTGATCTCACGAATGCTCCTTCCTTAAAGTGCCGTAACAGTTATCTTGTTGCTGTACGCGTATGTATGGGGGTATTGGTAGCAGAGAGAAGCATCCTGCTGCGTAGCACTAATTAATACTGAAATTCATATCTACCCATCCGAGCAACTTAAGAAATCGATTATTGAAACCTCATTTCTAATACTCAGTTAAACAGCATTGTTTGTCTATGCTTAATATGGCATATTCATTCGGTAATGCCGTTTTTGTGCATGCTATTCTGAATCATGATTCCGATCAGATACCTGCTTCGTGTATCTTTTACTTTCCTCGTCACGGTTACCGTTTATGATTATTTAAGTGCGTCCTTCATTCATGCGGTTCTTGGGCTGTCGATTCCATTTGAGCTGTAGAAGCCCTTCACGTTCTTACGACATGTCGTCGACCTTTCGGCCAGATAATGACTGAGTATATGACGTTTTATGATGTCGAACCTCGAAACTGAACTGAAGCTGTTTTGTGCTTTTTAAGGCCGGTTCAAACAATACAGTAAGAAGAAATTGAAACTAGCAACTACACACATGTTCCTCTGACGCACGTCGAATGGTAGCAGATGTCCGTACCCTCGAAGCCCTGGCAGTTGCCACCTGGGACCACCTTGCTGACGCAGACGTACTGACGAACGTCGCAAAACACGTACGGTGAACGGCAGGTGGGTGTTCGTGGCGAACAGCTCGGCAGCGAGTCGTACACGTAGAACTGGTCGGTGTACGAGTTGGACAGTCCGTCAATATTGCGCAACAAGAACGGCAGCATCTGACCATTGGCGCCATGCATGTCGCTGCACGAGCTGGCGTCCGGAGGATACGACGACTCGCGTTGCTGAGGCGTTTGCCTCGACTGCCTGAACAGTTCCCAAACGCTGTCGATGAACGAATGCAACAGAAGAAATACAGGGTCGTTCGGGGACATCGGGATGATGGCCATGTGTCCGCCAACCCATTCGTGCACGGCGCCGTGCATCTGAAAAGACCGACCGTCGCAACCTCCCTTGAATAAGCAACCTCGTATTCTTACCGTTTCGAAAAACGGATCAACGCAGAAAGTCAGCTGGTCGTAGGTCGACTGTCTGAGGACGTAGGCGACGTCAGCTATGCTGAACAAGCTACCTGATCGACCACAATGACGTTCGACCGGCTCCCCGAATGCCGTCGACCACCGCCGAAACGGGCCGGTTACTAAACTACCCTCGGCATTGCCCAGGAACAACTCCGAGAAGAGGACGGAGTGGGCCGGATTTGGCAGCGGCTGATCCAACGTCGAGTCCCAGTAAGGAATGCTGACCTGAGGGTCATAAGACCTCAGAGCAATTTCGAACCTTCAAATGGCGAATCATAGTGGTTCATTAGAAGCAAGTCTGTCTACGTTGCGAGTACAGTGAAATTTCAGCCAGATACTTACTGTCTCAGGTACTCCCTGTGCCACGGTAGGAACGAGGCACCGAAGTGAGCGGCGGGTGCTCTGGACGATGTGTGGTAAGTGACGAACAGATCATAGCGACTCATGCCGTCGCGACGGTCCGCCTTCATCCTGTTCACAGCGTTGAAGAACCGCAGACGCGCCTCGTCAGACATTAGACGGATCTCTTGGCGCACTGCTCTTCCGACCGACGTTTGCCTCGGAATCCTTGACCTCAGAGGTACGTTGCTCAGGCAGCTGTAGACGTCCTGACACTGCGTCAGTTTCATGATATAGTCAAAGTCGTGCGGAAGGAGGTAGTCGGTCGGCAGTTCAACGTGCGCCATGTCTTGATACCAATCATCCATGCTCCGGCAGCATCTGACCAATGACGACCGACGAAGCCGAACCTTCAGAACCGGACACCGCCATTTCAGCTCTTCCACGCAATCGCTCAACGTGTCATTGTCCATGTCGGACAAGTGACTCCAGTGCTCGGTTCTCGATTTCACAACTAACGTCATCAACACCAGTAGCGCTACTCTCAACACCATGACTTCCCCCGTGTGCAAAATAATGTGATGGGAGTCTTGCCACAGTCTTTTCCTTTTCTCTTCTCCGGATCAACAGATAACGGCGTGGGAAGTTGATTATTTTTTCTACGAAGTCCAAGTGATTTGCCTAAACTCTCTTACACCAGCGAACTCAGTGTTTTTCTTCACGATCTCAAACTGGTTTCTATATGACATCATGCAACCACCAAATCAGACACATACGTCCATGATCTATGACTGCCTGTGCATGCATCCTGTTGTGCTTCAGGGCAACTTCGCCTACTTGGAACAGTGGCAAGTTCACTACTGACCAATTCACATTGATAACAGTTCATTGTTGATAAATCCCTATCAAAAAAGTTGCAGTGAAAGGGTTTAACGTATGGCGTTAAGACAATGCGCCGTTTAACACAGAAGTTAGGGGATCTTCTGGATAAAAAATGAGTCTGATCACAAAAAGGCAACCGCGGGATGGTATATCGACTAAATTGTACTTGTGGTGACATTATCATCAGAAAAAACTTAGAAACATGATAAGAGAACATATTGGCTGCATAAACAAGGCAGAATAT